GTACCTTCATTTCTGTTCATTCAGGAGATGCAAATTTTTTCTTCTGACTGGAATGGGAAAGAGAGCAGTTAGAGTGAAGGCTCATCAGGTTATTTCTTTTACTGCTCTTCTCTGCTTTAAAAAAGTACAGTTTTGACTAAAGTTGTCCAAAAGCAACTGCAGCTGTGGAAGGCATTGGACAAAATGCCATAGTTTTGAAATAACAAAGCTTATTTTTAGGAAGTATTCAGGGACTTAAGTTATGTTTGGTGCTACAGATCATATACCTTGCAGCTGAGTATTCGGGGAGTGGCTCTTTAGTTGGCTCCTCCCTACCCCTTCTTTTTGTAGCCTGCATAAGAAATATTTTATCTAGCTCCCTCCATAATTGCAGTCATCACCTCCTGCTATTTTCCTAAAATACCCATATGGTCTGAGAGAGGGTAATTTCACACCACAGTGTGGGAGTAGAGAAGAAGCAATGCTGTTGCTTGCATTAAGGTCAGGGGCTTATTGATACTCGCACAGATCCCAGCTCCAAGTGTGAAGACGTGCAACCTGTGGGTATTTCTTTGCTGCATTTCTAGAATTGCCACAAGGTGGCAATGGCTCAGAATGCTATTCCTGCAGCACCAGCAGTCTGGCTGCCTGCACTTGCGGGGAACATGGTCAGCCACGGGCTGTGGTCGCAAGCCAGAGGCCACGGTGCTCTGGGGCGTGGGGGGGTGAGGCTGGTTGTGGCCAAGGCATGGGCCACATCTTAGGCTTTTTCATTTTAAAGGCCAAGGTTTCATAGGGGACAGTTGTAGTGGGAGTGATGTCTTTGCCAGCTGCTGTTGGCTACATATGTTTAGGGCAGTAGTGAGCTGCTCTGTGTGCTTAGGCAGTGAGAAGCAGATGAAAATGCTCTAAATCTAGCATCAAATCAGTGAAGCTAGGGTTTTTTCTTTTTTTTTTTTTCTTTCAAAGCAAAGATAAGCAGTGTTACTGTTACAAATACATACATGACACATTTTTCCTTTAAATTGGTTGAGATTGTTGTTTAATGAAGTAAAATCTGTGACGTTGGAACAACTCTATAAACTGCCAGATCTGTTTGAAATGCAACTTCTGATTTTTATAAAAATTTTAACTCTGTGTAAAATCTGTCTCTTGAAATTGTTTAAAGCTATGAGTGGAGCTAAAACAGAAATGCCTCCAAGTTTTCATGCCCAAGATTCACTTTAGAAGGGAAAAAGCAAATCTTTAAATCAATTCTCAGAGAAGAGTATCTTGGGGATATGTAAGACTTCTTTGAAATGTTAAATGCAAGGTGAGAAATTTTTTTAATAGGTAAGTGCTGAAGGCTCTTTTGACACCTTTGTATTACTCTGTAAATTATGAAAAGTTAAATTGCTGCTGCAACTTGAAGAAAGTTATTCTTAATTTAATTAAATAGAATAAACGTCTCAAAAAGCTATCCTAAATACATGGTTTCATTCTTTGATAGTCTACTAAGGTTAGCAAATGTAAAGTGAAAAATAAATGTTACCTTTTGTGAAGTGCACAAGGACGGAGGGGAAGAGAAATTTTTATCTTGGCTGCAATAAAGAAAGAGCCAATTTGAGGGCACTTAATCTTGTTTTCGCTTAAAGTTGTCTTTGCTTATCTTCAGTCATTCTACAGAATGCAATCAAACCTGATATTCTGGGTTGCTGGAATTTAGTTATATGTTCTCCCATGAAGCAGCAGTAGTTATTTATGTAGTATCACACAGAGTCACGACAACAGTTTTCATACCACTGAGAATGTGAAATCTGAATAAGCAATACAGAACTGAAGCATGTTGATAAAAAGCAACAGAATCAGTGAGGCTGTGGGGTACGCTTCAGGTGATACTCAGAGTTCAGTTTACATTTGGGTATACATGTAGTAATGTCCATTTTTATTTTTATTTTGCTGTTCGTGGTTCTTTCTGTTAGAATTAAAACACGGGTGCAGAGTCACTGATAGTGAAGATGTAAAGAAGAGTAGTGAGGGATTGAAAACAGAGGTCTAACATGTATGAGTCCTGCACAGAGGAAAGGAGGAAAGGGCATGTGCAGTGGAAAGGAAATCCTCTTACAGAAGGGTTTTGAGCTCCTTTATGTGAACTCCTACCAGAGAGAATCTGGCCAGGCTTATTGCCCTTAAGTTTAAGCATTTCACTTGGGATTCTGTGGTGCATGATGTTCTTATCTCTTGTTTTCTGTTAACTAAGATGGACAACTTCAACGGTAGCCCAGACTTGGCCAGGTTGAGCTGTTTGGCAGTGTCCAAGAGTTAATGTCCTGAACAGATGCCTCTCCACTTGCTGTTATGGCACTCTAATGCAATTAGACTTCCCCTTTTTTCTCTGCGTTTCTAAGCTACTAGTTTTGCTGTTAGTTTTGTTACATTTTTAAAGGCACTTGGCTGCAAATTTAAGAGTGTTAATGAATCCATTAAAAATGAACAACATTAAAAAAAAAGAGGGAATTCACTGTACTCTCAATCTTCTGAGAAATAAAAAACCACAAAGGCTACAACAGACTACTAAATATTATACTGTGTCTCTGTATATGGCAGTAAACCAGAATTTCAGATCATCCTTAGTGCAAGGTGTAGCTCTTCGTATTTTCCATTGCAATTATTATTTTTTAGTTTTGCAGGAGAACTCCCCTACACATCCAGATTTCACACTAAACCATAAGTAATTTAAGATATATACAGTAATCCTAAAATGCCACTCAACCCTTAGAATTATTTACTTACCTGAAGCAGTGAATATGAAAGCCATAAATAAATACTTTAAAGGCATTTGAGTTTGCTGAACTATGATGGTTAGAAATAAGGAAGTCAGAATTAAATTTATATTTCATTGCCTTATTCATAATGTTTTTGTTTGATATGTGCGTAATAGACAAGCAAATCACCTAAAGAATGAAGTCTGCAAGCATGAAAATACATTTCCATAATTGCCTTGGCAGGAAGCCCGCGTGTTCTCGTGGCAGAGCTGTGAATATTCCATGGGATGAAGGATGCTGCTTTCTCAGCAGTGGGGCACCCTCCGAGGGAGGGCTTGGCTCTTTAAGTCCCCTAGGAGAACAAGTGTGTGCTGAAAAAAAAATATCTCAAACCATCCTTAATGAGTCACATTTTCCAATATCTCAACCTGTCCAGTATCTTTAGAAAATGAAAGAATAAGAAGAGAAGAAAAAGAAGAGTAAGGGGAATGGGGTAATGAGAAACACTGGACGGGTCTATCAGGGAGTAAAGTTTGATTGCTGTTCAAAAGCTTGGTGGTGCAGATGCTGTACAAGGAATGGGTGTCTGGCAGACAGGTGGACAGATGCCATTTTTTGGTGTATGTGCAGACATAATGCAAATACTTCTCTCCCGTGGATTTTTTAACTCGCAGTGGTCACAGCCTGGCAGTGTGTCAGCGTGGGGCTGCTGCTCTCAACAGCTCATGAAGGAAATTTTTTCAAGACTCAGAAATCTCTGTTAACGTTTGCTTGCCTCAAGGGGAGACCTTTTCTTCTGGAGGGGCTTCTTGGGGCTTGTTCTGGACTGCCAATAGTTTTGTTAAGATGAGGAACAGATTTATAATGTATTTTAACTTGCTTGGATTTTTTCAAAGGCATAGTTCTTTGGTTTTGCATCGCTACTGCCTACATTTCACCATTTTTCAGAGGATTTCTCATATGAAGTATTTAGATGTCAGCTATACTATTGTTTCCTGAGAAAATAGAACAACTTTCGGGTCTGCATTCACTTCGGAGAGAGTTTTGCAGTAAATTGCTGCGTGTTTCATAGAAGCTCATAACTTGATAAACTTTGCAAACTTTATGTAGGATGAAAATTCTCCCTTTCTGTACACGAAAGATTGTCCACGGTAGGCACGTTGTCAGGCTAGCTTTAATTTTGCTAATCTTGTAACATTGTTGTGGCTTAAATGGTTTCAAAGTGTCAACACTAGAGACCTGAAAGACTAAGGTCACCATACTCCGGTCTAGATGCCAAAAAGTTCTTCTGTAAGAAATGAACATGGATTGGGCTAATGTTATTTGTTGCAGGTTAACTGTTACAAATGTAACTTTCTGCCCTCTGGAAAAGTATTTTCAATTTCTGGAGATACATTTATTTGTTTATTTTTAACTAAGCAAAATACAGGAAGGATGAAAAAGCTTTTCAATCAGTTGTGTTTGGATTTTTGTAATGTTAAATTTAAAGTTCAGGTACACTCACTGGAATAAAGCTTTACATTAGTTTTAAAGGTCTGGAAAAGCCAAACAATGGCTTTTAACTGTTGCTTTGTTATATTATTATGTTAGTGGCAGTCTCTTTTGATTTGAGTTTCTAACTTCTCACAGATTTGATAAGGAGAAATATCTTACTAAATATTTCAAGAGCTGATAGAAACCTTGGCAAAAGACCTGTGCCTGTACCCCTGGAGACCTTTCAGATTTTGCCTTTTCCTATAACATGAAACTTTGATTTAAAATGGGTTGATTACAAGGTTTAATCATGTAATGTACTCTACTAGGAGTCTGTTTTCAAAATGTGCTCAATTTTGATATGGAGTCCAAGTTAATTTGGTATTGGTGTTGGAGCCTTGCGGCTGCTGTTCCCAGAGATTAGTTGTTAGATGTTGTTCATAGTGCTATAGCATCAGTGGGCAGAAGTCCATTTTCTTCATAGGCAGCGTTTTTCATCCATTTTCTTCACAGTGAGTATGCTTGTTAAAACATGCCAATGGTAGCACCTAGAGTACTCCAAAAATTGGAGGCATCTCAGTTGTTTTTCACTTATTTGAAAGCTGAAAAATTTGAAATATTTGAAGACTGGAGCTAGGAGCTAAATTTTATTAGCTGGTGCTGCTGCCACGGGGAAGGTCAGCCATTTTATTCAGCGCATGCGTATAAAATATTGCTCAGAAGAAGTACCCGTGCAGACTTACCTGTAGCATCCTGAGGACACAAAGGAAAGAGCAGAGGTTTAGTTGGATGCTGAGTGCGTGCATGACTTGCTGTAGCAAACAGGCTCGCCCAGGTGGGACCCCGAAGAGCTGTCTCACTAGGGAGCCAGCTGGCCAGGGAGCCTTTGCCTTTTTTTCCCTAGCCATGGCTTCCAACTATTGCATATTTTTACTTTGAGGCTAATTGCATTTATTATTGCTCACTCTTCTCTCCTTTCTTTTTGTTTTTTTTCCCCTTCCATAGCTCAATAAGCAGCAGCTACAGACACTGAGGGAACGTTTCCTGGCCTTTTTGAATGGGGAGACACAAATTGTAGCAGATGAAGCATTTTGCAATGCTGTGCGAAGCTACTATGAGGTAAGTTACATGCTTTTTTTTTTTTTTTCCTGTATTTTTTATAATGTTCATAGAATCTCTTTTAGTGCAGATACAAGGAAATGGATTTTAAGTTTCAAAGCCTGTGAATTTCCGAACCTTCTAGAAACAGCTTCCTCCTACTCTAGCTTTCCCAGAGTTGAAATCCACTGCCTGGGCATAAGAGATAAACTGAACTGGAAAATATCCACCCCTTTTGAAGAAAAGGCGAAACAAAAGCCCCTGGTGCTAAAAATCTTTCTGGCAGCATTTCATACAACCAGGCACCACTATCTTTATCTCCATATGTCTAAGTTACCTCTTTTAATCAGTGCTTCAGTTGTAACTTACCATCTTGAGAAATATGTTTTGATTTTTAGTTACCGTGCAGAGTTTTTTAGAGGAACCTCCTGTTCCATTTGTTCTGCGCAGCTGGGCCAGCTCTCATGTCCTGCTGTGACCTCCCAGGCTCGTTCAGTCCCTATGGCCACCAGTGTAGGTCATTAGATGTGGTTTTAATTGCCTAAGGGACAGGTCCCATTCCAAACTAAGAGGACAGTTCGCTGTCCTTTTTTGTAACATCACTAGCATATGCCTGGAGAATTTCTTTCATATTGTCTCACCTAACTTCAGACTTGCTTAATGAATCACAAGGGCTGTATGTTAAACTTGTATTTCCTTGGCAGGGTCTTCCTCCATATTTCACTTTACCACATATTTTTTTCAAATTTTGTAGTTTTATTTTTTAATATATTATTTGTCCTTTTTCTCTGTCAACTATTCTTTGCTAGTGAATGAATCTTTTCTTCATGTAGCAAAAAGATGTGACATGTCCTAGCTTGGTTTTATCTGCACTAAATTCTGTTGCACAAAAAAAAAAGAGCCAGGCTGGACAAGTGGTTTTCCTGTTGTACAGAAATGTGAGATTTAGTGCGACTTTCTCCAAATCACAGTCTGATCAGTACTGTGGCAGTTGAAGTGAAGGAAATCCTCATAAAAATACTTATGAAAGCATGGGGATGTGTCTAACTTAGTTTACAAGCCTGCAGGTGAAACAAGAGAATATGAACATTCATGAGGTACTACATAGGGGTGCGAGAACAGTATTGTGGTGGGTTGACCCTGGCTGGATGGCAGGTGCCCACCAAAGGTGCACTATCACTCCCTCTTCTCAAATGGACAGGGAAGGGAAAGTACAGGTGGATATCTGCTCCTCTGTTAACCTCCACAGGCTGCAGGTGAGTGTCTGCTCTACCGTTAACCTCCACAGGCTGCAGGGGGACAGCCTACCTCACCATGATCTTCACCACAGGCTGCAGGAGAATCTCTGCTGCAGCACCTGGAGGACCTCCTCCCCCTCCTCCTTCAGTGACCTTGTCTGCGGAGTTGCACATATTTGTACTCCTCTCTCTGGCTGCAGTTGAGCAGTTTTGGTTCCCCTCACTCCCCCCCTCTTAAATATGTTATCACGGAGGTGCTACCATCATCACTGATGGGCTTAGACTTGACCAACGGCAGGTGTGTCTTGGAGCCAGCTGGCATTGGCTCTGTTGGACATAGGGGAAGCTTCTAGCAGCTTTTCACAGAAGCTACCCCTGTAGCGTGTGTCCGTCCCCCCACCACCACCCCGTACCATAACCTTGCCGTGCAAACCCAATACAAGCATAGAAGTTGTTAGAGAGTAATCCTTTTTTCTGTGTAACTGATGAAGAAGTTAACGCTGGAAGGGAGCTCAGTTTGCGAGATGGTGCAGGACCAGGCTGAGCTCTTCAGCTGTCCAGCAGTAGGTTTCAGAAGAATGTGTTGTCTCAAGATGCTGAACATGGGGTAGAGTTGAAAAGGGCATAATTTGGATGGTTCTTTCTTTCAGCAAGCTGTGTAAGAAGCTAGGTACATTAGAAGAAGTAGCCTGCCCTTTCGAAAGGATGTGATAGTGAATAAAAATGATTTTTAAATAAATGCCTGAACAGTAACTGTCCTGTTAAGATTTACTTTGTGTCTCTTGTTAATGAAATTTTTTGTCGACACATGAAGAACTATGTTTTTCAGCTTATCTGCTGATGCAGTGAAGGGCTGCACTTAATAATCGAAGATAGACCTATGAAGTGGGAGACTCAAATTCTCCAGCTGTTTTCAGCCATTCACTACTTTGAATTGAGTGTACAAATGTTCTAGCTGTCCAGTTTCAGAGGATTCCAAAGATCTTAGCACCACTGTCAAGGCTATATTGACACCATGGGCTGGTGGGATCTTCATCCATGTTAATACACCATGAGGTCATCTCCCAGCTGTGATTTGGTTCTTTAGTCTTTTTTTTTTATTATTTATTCCACACACACCCCCACCCCAATTCCATTTTCCACTCTTTCCAGAGATTTCCGTCCAGACTTGCACAACCTTTTCCAGTTGTACAGTTTGAGTCAGAGTTTGCAAGTCATTTTTAATTTCTTTTCAGGATTGTGTGGATAGTTACTACTGTGCAATATTAGATTTAATGAACCTTGCAATAGTAGAATCCAGCTGGAGACTGAGTTCAAGATACTGCTCCTCTTCAATGCATTTTAATCAAATTTTATGCGTCTTACCACGTATTCTCATACCATCGCTTATACGTGTCTCTTGTGCCTTTTTCATTTTCTTCATTACCCGTCTGTTGAAAATATTAATATCACTTCTTTGTGTGTTCAGTTGCTGCTGTGCTCTGACGCTTTCTCATCTCTGTCTTCCACATACAATCCAGCACGTCTACTGTTCGATGATGTTACTAGCTTGAATTATGGGCATCTTCTTGTTTGTGTCATACAGATCTTACGAGCTTCAGTGTTAATTTCCTTATACTTAGATGCTGAGCCTACAGTTCAGTTTTATCTGACATGGAGGGAAACAAATACGTGGTCTGCACAGTAATTATTTTACTCTGAAAATGATTAATTTGGCTTTAATCCTATGCAATGGTCATGGTTTGAGACTTATTATCATCTTGCTTGCATAGGCAGGCTGTTCTCATTACTGTAGTTGATTTTCCACACCCAACTCCTTAATTTTGAATGTGAAAGGAAAGGTTTGTTTTGGGCATGTGACACAAATCCTGTATCACCAGTTGCAGGTGTTTTCAGTCACTAAATCCATCTATAATTACTGGGTTTGTTCAGAATAAGTCCTCTTAAGAATCTAAGACTAAATTCCTAGGATTTAGGAATTAATTATAGCTCGGTGTTTGATTAACTTTTCTATAAATATTTGCTGAAAGAGTAATTTATTTACTGAATACATAAATAGGAATTTCAGCATCAATATCACTGTGTGCTAAGAGAGCCATGCTCCTGTGTCAGGGCTACTTGGGAAGACTTACACCGGTCAATTTTGTTGCCTATTCCTCCAGCATTATGTCTTTTCCAATGCTGCTGTGGTTTTTAAGACTTTCTATTAATGTTCTGGCACTGTTTTTTGTTTACCTTAAAAATCTAATAGGAAAACAATTCATAGGAAAAGTTACATAAACTCTTTAACTCTCCAGCAATGGTTATTTTCATGTTCTGCATAATTTCCCCCTAGCATCCCATTGCAGTTCCTGAAAGTCTCTCAGAAATTTAGCATGATTCATTTTTGTATACATATAATTAAGATTGTCTCGAGGAATTATTTCCTCTTCCTTCCTAGTTTTAGAGAAGGTATGGAAATGTTTACAATTCTCTTTCTGTAATCATTCTCTCAGAATTAACACAGGATTATTTTATTTTTGGTGGAAAATTCCATTACAGACAATGAGCCAGATTCTAATTGGTAGAACATCAGATGTTGGTGATGCTTTTTGGATAAAGAGAAAAATTCAATCATATGACAGTTTATTATGAGTAATTATATTGGACACACTGCTAAGTGTAAAATAAGTGAGAAAGTGACTTATGAAATAAAGTCAGTCTTTGCATATTTCACCCTAGTCTTTTAAAAAATTATCAGTAAAATAGTCAATAATCTTCCATTCATCAATTCTTGCATACTCTTTCTTGAAGACTGGAAAATGCTCTTGTTCAGAGCCCGAAGAGGTTAATTTGTCACCTTTTATATACATACATATTAAAGGGATGAACCTTTATCATGCATGTATATACCTTGGGCTAACCTCACAGTACTAATTCTTAAATCTTGAATGCTTGCAGTCTTGCAGATATGAGTATAATGTGGGCAAAGAACTATAATGAATGTTTGAAATACTATAAAAACTTTTTCAATATTGTAACGACTGCAAGTTCTTGGGTTTTCAACTCTGCTTAAAGCATTGTGCAGCTGCAAGAAATTTTATGTACTGGTGTTTTTCCTGTTTTTCTTGCTGGTTCATTTTAAATATGGGGTTCTAAGCCATAATTACTGCATGCTGCTTAAATCTGAATGTTAAATGCAGGATCTGTAGCAGTTAGCAGTATCAGGGGTTTTCAGAATTTAAAATCAGACTTGGTTCGACTGTACCTGTTTGCCTGTGATACAGAAATTATATTTAGCTTAATTTCTATTTAAATTCAGGTATTGTAATCCTTGGCAAATTAAATTGTTGTCTGCTACAGTCGGGCAATAGGGAAAAACTGAGACATGGCCAATAGCAAAAATTGATGAGGCAGGAGATTCACGTACAAATCTGGCTGATAGATTGGCACTGACTGGCTGGGGGGGCGGGTTTAGGAGGGGTTTTAAAAAGTGAACTAAAAGTAGAAAACAATCAAAATCAACAATAAGAAAGAGCAGAGGTCCCATGTCATAGAACCATAGAATGATTGGGTTGGAAGAGACCTGAAGGTCATGTCATCCAATCCAGTAGCCACAGACAGGGACATCTTTCATTAGGTAACTTGCTCAAAGCCTTTGAGCACCTCCAATGATGGGACATCCACAACTTCTCTGGACAATCAGTTCCAGTGAGAGGTCATCGTGTGAGGCAAAGGTGGCCAACCCCAGCCTTGGGCCTATTCAGAGTGGTTGATACTGGGTTGTTAAGGAGTTTGAAATTT